ACGCAGGCGTGACTTCCATCAACCAACCTGCAGAAAGTCAAGCATCTCCAGAATCCTTCAAAACATCATCCGTTCTTGTTTTCAATTCATTTTTCAAAACGGCTTCTACTCCCATTCCACCCATTTCAAGTCCGATTCCAGTGCCCTCCTCCCTCCCCTCGCATTGGTCTCCAAAGCACGGCGTCCTTGCTGCTGTCCTCGGAGAGCGAACGGCAGAAACGAAGAGCGAAGGTGCGACGCTCCCGAGTCCTACTAGGAACGAAAGGCATCGCTACTAGGAGCAAGGACGCTACTAGGGGCTCCTGGGCTTACTACTAGTAACAAAAAAGCTACTATTTTCCTTTTGTATGTTTTTTTGTGATATTGGTGAGTGAGTGACCAGATTTCATCCTTGGTGTAAAAATCGTCCCAGCACAGCTTCCAACAAATTTGGGGAGTTCCCAATTGGAGCACAGTCCCACTGTAGTAACTGCAATTGTTCTCTTTCCGTGGATACCAAAACTACATATCATTTGTTCTTATTCTCCCCCAAACCCACCCACATGGTGATCTGAACCTTCACTTTGCAAAAGCAGCAGTGTTTGAGGGTGTCCCTTCAAGTCCCTTCCAGCTCCAAGTGACGGTGTTCTTGGTGTACTCTGCAATGGCTGCGAAGAGCCCCGCACGGCTGACAAGCTCCTCAAAATCCTGGCTACGAGATGACCAGGTTCCGCCAAAATCTCGTCTGGGTCGGACGCACAAATGGTCCAAGCGACGAGTCTTTGTTGGGAAGACAAGGTCAAATAGATCCAAAATGGCCAAAACCCATGAAATTAATCGGTTAATGGCATTGCTACTAGGAGCAAGAAGCTAGAGGCTCCTGGCCTTCCTGCTAGGAGCAAGGACGCCACTAGGGCTCCTGGCATCGCTACTAGGAACAAGAAGCTTAATGTGGATTGGTGAATTCATGTGGGATTGTGACCCATCTTTATTCTAAAGCTACTAGGAACAAGTGCATCGCTTCTAGTAACAAGTGCCTTACTAGTAGTAACAAGAAGCTATTAGAAACAAAAAGTAAAAGTAATTAGAATTGGAATTTAATTCTAATAGCTTCTTGTTACTACTAGTAAGGCCCTTGCTCCTAGTAGCGATGCACTTGTTACTGATTAGAATTAAAATGCACAGCTGTGCGGTACCGAAGCACCAAGGCAGTGCTTCGCTCTGGCCGAGGCACCGAAGGCACCGCCAAGGTGGGGCCGGGGAAGGTTTGGTCGATCCACTTCCTGAAAGCGCCGACACGTTCGGTCTCCGTGATGAGGACATGGTGGTCTTTTGTCAGACCAACCTTCGTTCTTTCAGAAGGTTTTCCAAAGAACCAGAAAGTGCGTATTCTAATGGCTCTCTCCAGCCATAAGTCATCACTTACAGTGAGCGCATCATCTAGTAGGGTAATCTGCCCTTGTCAGCTCCTTCCCATCCAATGTTTGAAGAGATCCTGCAAGAAAAAGAACATTTTCCATGCTCCTTCACAGGTAGATTGAGAATGATTGAAACGTCTTACTCCACCTGTAAACGATTCCACATCGTCCCCAACCGCCCTGTCTCAGTATCTCCAAGCCACAAGATCTTCCCGCTCTCCACGTGAGCAACCCCTTGGTGCACCACCTGAGCGTGGAACGGCCACCATGTTTTTGGATAGTGGATAGAGATGGATAGAGATGAGTACAAAAAAAAGTTTGTCAAAACACTCACTCAAAGCTCTATCTATGTGTTTGCGTTTCACTCAAAGCTCTTGGACTGAAACATGTTTCACTCTGTTTTTTTTTGTTCAGTGTCCGACTCTGCATGTCCCTATATGTTTAGCGTGAAAGGTGTTCGACTTTACATTCGTGTGGTTCTTCCCGTCCATCAGTGCGTGGGCCATCCGAGGCGAGTGAGTTGGGGTGGCTTGGGTCTTTTATGTCAGCGCTCAAGGCTGATTTCATCAGTGACATTAGTGAGTCCACAATGGAAACCTCTTGTCATTGTTATGAAACTAACTATGGTTTGAAGTTCAAGCAAAAAGCCCCAAACCTTGAGTTGTTCACACAAACCTCTTGCGGCCCAGAGACACATGGCATCTGACCACCGACCTCTTGAAGGAGCCATGGAGGCTTCGTGGTTGGGCTGCACGCCACCACGTCATAGTCCACACCTTTCAGCTTCCTTAGAAGTGACGGAGTCGAACCAGTCTCTATGTATGGCACAATGTGTGGAGTGTAGGGGAACCTTTGCCGGTTCCACGGTCCTCAAAATGGGGCAGGTGTTCAAGACGGAACTTTCAAAGCATGCTTTTCAAACCAAGAAACACCCGGCTCAGCACACTACTAAATGCTCACCGGTTTGTTTTGATCCCGTTGAGAGGCACTCGACAAAAGGTCTGCTCTTTCCGTCAACTTGGCGGCTCAGGTTCCAAGTCAAGGGACTCTGTTCTGAACTGGCTGACCCGTTCCATTCTTTTTTTGAGCTCTCGCTCATCCCCTCTGTGGAAAACATTGATGCCCCGAGAAAAAGAACCTTCAAGGACTTGAGTGATGCGGCAGAAGCTAAGGTTGTGACATCATGTCGACTGGGGACTTAGAGATGCTTCCCAGCAGAATTTAGAAAGGAACCCAAGAGTGGCAACCTTTGTTTCTTGCCACTACAATGGTTCAGTCCAATAGCTTCTACTGTTTCGCGAAGAAACCCCGCAGCTTTGCTTTGTCCACAAAACGCAATGCTTGCCATGAACACATCAATTCAAAATTTCAAAGCCACAATCTGAAACAGTACGAGTTTGTTGTTTTGCTTTTCTTTTTCAACCTCTTTTCTGTCTAGACACAAAGCCATGAGCACCCCATGGGTGAAGGGGCAATCGCCTGGGGAGACGCCGTCCAAGGCGGCTTTGGTGAAGACGGTCCTCAGTGACGGAAGGAGGTTCTCCCCGCAGCACCGATCGGGAAGAACCTCATACAAAGACATGCAAGAAGCAAATCAATTCCACCTTGGCAACATTCGTCAAGTTTTGTACAGATCATGGGATCCCTCCCTTGAAACTTGGACCCACAACCAGGTGGTACCTTGGCCTGAGATGATGTGCCGGCTGCCGTCGAGAGGCGTGCGCATGGGCTTTTCCGTCGGCACCGCCATGCACACGTGCTTCACGCGGCGCGGACGCACAGATCGCGGCTTGGCCATCTGAGCGCGGGCGGCTTACGACTTCCCGAGGAATCGGATGAACATGAGAAGTACTTCTTTGAACCGAGAATCGGGCCTTGCTCCTAGTAGCGATGCTCTTGTTCCTGGTAGTAATGCCAGGAGCTACTTACTAGTAGCTTCTTGCTACTAGTAGTGATGCACCTTGTTACTAGTACTTCTCTGGCACTACAGCCACCAACCTCAATGCCTCAATCCATCGGGCTTACCATCATTGCCATAAGCGTTGATCAATGGAGTGGTGCTGGTGGTTCTGATTCCAACTCAGTTCGGCAAAATTCCAAATGCCAGCCAATCCTTTTGCTGATTGCGCCTTTTCTGGAATCTAGAAAAAGTAATATACCTAGATCCTCCAACTATCCCGAATTTCTGTTTTTTTGACTGGTTTTATAGATGGAAAAGCATAGATTCGACACCGTTGGAAGATCTATATATAGAATCGGCACATGGGATTTCCATGGCTTTTGCCGCCTGAGAAGCCACCAGGGCCGCCACCAGGCCGCTCACGGCGCCGAAGGCTGCCCCACCGGCACCGGGGCGCACGGAGGGCGTGCCATGGAGCGCAGCGTGCACAGCGCACGGAGCGCGCGTGGCGTGGGGCGCCGCGGAAGGAGTGAAGACGAGGCCGTCCATTTTTTTCGAACTTTGGGCCTTCAAAAATGCCGGGCAGAGCTTGTTCGACAACAATAAGCAACTAGGAACAAGTGCATCACTTCTAGTAACAAGTGCCTTACTACTAGTAACAAGAAGCTATTAGAAACAATAATAAAAAGCTTGTTCGAGGAGTTCCATGAATCCCAGTTTGTTCCCAGCTGCAACGAGCTATCATCACGTCTGTCGCTGGGCCGATGGGATACACTTTTCTGGCTTGCCATCGTCTCCCTTAAAACGGGACGGGACGGGGTAAACTGTAAACCACCACAAGCGCTGGTGGTGTGTGATGGAACATAGGCCATCGCCTGCAAAAAAGGGATGAGCACCCATGCTGCAAGTACAAGACCGTCTGAAACAACCCGGTCTCCTTGAAACTTTGATGTTGAGGGTTCAAACCATTTTGGACCGCTCCTTCCACCAACACACTCAGCGCATTCCGTGCATTCCCTACAGTCAAAAAGCTTTCACCTAAAACTGTGTGCTGCATATTGTGCATCATGCAAGTTTAACCTTCAAGATAGAAGGACTATGACTCAACAAACTTTCAGGGTCAAACAGTGGCAAATGAGAATGAGATGAACGAGATGCACTGGCCATGGCATCCAAATTCATTGAACTCGCCAGGTCATTCACACGACCCGGAGTGCATATCCACGCGCGCCACTCGGTGTCATTATCCCATTCGCAGTTCCCTCAAGACCAAGGCCAAGCTGGGAGTCCAAGTGCGCTGGGGTCAGGGAATGCCGACGATGACTCTTCACTTTGGCAAAACAAGGGGCGAACACCGGCAACACCCTACGAAGTGGTCATTTTAAGGAGCGTTTCTTTTCACTTTAACCAATGTAGACATCTCTTTAAGAGGCACTCAGTTGGACCTGCTCGTCTTACCCAAACCGTTGTGGGTTCACGAGTGGCCCGTCGGCCTCAGGTGCCTCACCGGGTGCCGCCTACAGTTCCTCACTTTGGCTTTGAAGCTACCTGCAAAGCCAGATCGGTTGTCACGGGACACCCATCCAGCCCGAACTTGATGCATTCCGTGCAAGGGACATTGCTGTCAGAAAGCTCCACACAGAGATAGAAACAGGTTGGAAATGATCGATATGTCAAAACACCTTCTTTTCCCAACAGTAGATCTTGGCTTGTAGATCGCTTAACCGGCGATCCGCTTGAGCTCCACTTGATCTGCATGTCCGCTTGAGGAGCGCCCCTTTTGCCAAACATCGACGGTCTGGAGAACCGATGGGTCACGGATTTGTCTCGCTCTTCATTCAGTTGGACAACAAAACTCACATCCCCAGCACCTGGCGTCCCAAACCGACTTCAACCGACCGCGAAACGCCCCCGTTCCTCGGACGGAGCTGCCAAGGCCTGGCCGAGCGGACGAGCGGACGAGAGGGCGGGAACACATCGTTCTTCAACGTTCAGTGTCTCAAAATATCTAGGAATCAAATGAATACTGCGAGGAAGCTTCCTTGAAGAAGCGTGAGCTATCCTGCATACTAGTAGCCTAAGTAAGGTACTAGCTACCTCCATTCCTTACTTGATGAAGTAGGCGCCCACTTAATTAAAGTAGGGAGGGAGGGAACGGGCTAAAAATAAAGAAAGGAACCGCTGACCCTCCAACCGTGGCTTTGCCATGGCTTGGTTGGACACTTGTCCTTGTTTTCTGCTCTAGGAACACCTGTGGAGATCCAAAAACCTAACGGATATGGTGATAAGGTGCTACTCATGTTTTGTCTTTGTCCTTCACTCAGGAGAGGTGACGAGTAGGTGTTCAAGCTTGCTTTGCATGCTTGCCAAACTAGCACTCTGGGGGTATACCCCAGGTAGAAAGGCACATTTTGAAGATCTATCAATCCTGATTTTGCGACCCAGTCCATACCTCGGTGGTGGGGCCTGCACATCGGGTAGCTGAACGACCCTCGCACGTAGGCTGAACGAAACGGAACAAGTGTGTGCAGATGCTTTCTGTCTGGACTAGCGTGCCATCAGTGTCGACCAAAACAACAGAAAAAGAAAACAGAACACTCGACGACCTTTCGTGAAAGCAGAACTTCACCTGTTGGAGTCCTTGAATGGGTCTTCCTCGCCCCGCCTCTGACTGGTACAAGGCATCCGTCCAGGGCACCACGAAGTGCCTGGGACCGCGACCGTACTCCATCGCGGTGGCCACGTGATCGACGAAAAGGTGCAAAGAACGAGGAGCACCAAAACCATCCTGCACAAACCATCTGAAACCCGTTGTGGAAGGCTAATGCATGCAACTCATTGCTTTCATGTGGTTTTCATGTGGGCACACGTAGAACCTTGGCCTCTTTTTTAAAGTAATCCCAAATAGAAGGTCCTTTGTGCAAGAAACACTTGCGAAGGCATGAGGTTTCAACATCCAGTCCAATACCGGAAAAGGTTCAGCATCAACGCCATCAATCGAGTTTCAGTTTGACCCACATTGCGTTGCAGTTTGCTTTTGGTGGCACCTGTGGCCGGAGCCGGCTGCGAAAGGAAACAACCTAGCTCACTCAGTCCGGCGCAGCAGCATTCCGAAAGGCGCGAGTGTCAACATGGCCTGCGGAGATGGCGGTGATCTGGATGTGGCTCAACGTATTAAATTCGCAGCCCAACATATTTCATCTTGTCTTACATCGTATTCTTATATAACTAGTTCTTTTTCTGCCCTTTCCCGCTTGTTTTCCTTGCAATCTTGTCTTTTCCCTTTCTTTTCTTTCTTTCTTTAGATCTTGTCTGCATATTCTGTCGGAAAGCTGCGCATGGCGGTTCATGCTTGAACCTCGGGCTTTCGATGTGTTCTATCCACAGGGACTGTTTGCAAGGCTCAAAGGCCAACCTCCAATTGGCAACACTTGTCATGACCTTCCTTCGTTCTACAATCAACCCGTTTACAAAGGATGTGCTTCACACCAAACAAACCCGCAAACAACACAGAATCACGGAACGATTGTAAATCAATCACTCGATGTTTACAGTTGTTTTTGAAGATTTCGCGTGTTTGAGACCTGACTGGCCAAAAAACGGTATGCGATTTCATAGATCCTTGGATCTGATTCTCTTCAATTCCCTTGTTTGTCATGACCATGACGATGCACCGAATCTGTCGCAAACGGCTTCCAACGGTTGCCGTCAACTGATCGCCCCAAACAGGCACCGTTTTCAGTGCCCTCGTTCAGCTCTTTCCTTCGTCTTTTGGTGATATTGGCCTTGTATGGTCGCTGTCAAAATCCGCATTCTGTCACAAACACTTCCAAGACTTCCAGATCCGTTCCTTCCGAACACCTCGTTTCTTCCACATCCAGAACACTGCGGGAGGACACCTGGAGGGCACTGAAACGGCTCCCGAGCAGCAGCGCCGTGATGGTGTACCTGGGCGGATCTCTCCAGATCTCTTTGGGGGAAGAACAGGTCGAATTTCAATAGGCTTCTAATAGGAATGGATCGGGTTTCGAATTTTTAAAATCACCACCAAACGAAACCAAACAAGTAGCTCACTTCAATTGATCTAGTGAAAGAAGGCATTTTCTTTCTTGATTCCTTATATTCCCGAAGTTTGCTGGGTTTGGCCTTATTGATCCCCGTCTGTACGACAGGTTGGAGTCGGGCACTCAGAAACACACATAGTCAGACACGGTCTCTGTTTATATTATCCTATACGACAAGTGGCGTTTTTAAGGACCAAACATGCTATAGAATCCTTGTGTTCCAGCCTACTTAAAACCATCAACAAAACAGTTAACCGAGAGCATGTTCCTAGGAAATGTCTAACCTGTATTTATATCTTTCTGTGATCTCTCAAGGCCAAATCGAAGAGAACATGCTAAAGGTTTTTAAAAACTGAGACTTCTTGAAGAGAAGAGTCTACTTCCATTTCAGTCTTGTTCCATAGGATTTATTTATATGCTTTTTGAGATTTATGAAGATATACCATAGATAACCACTGATATCCTTGAGTTCCAGACAATAGGAATACCAGCACAGTGAATGAAACGGTGTGAATGACATGGGGATGACATTCATCTTCTGAATGTTTTTCTGTTGCCTTTGCTTGCAGAATGCGTAGGACGAGGATGAAGACGTGGAGATCATGAAGGCCGAAATTGTCTCTGTGAACAGTTTGTAAAGAATGAATGCTAGAGCCTAGAGGGCTTAGATTTACATTCCGAGGATAAGGTACATTCAGGGGGATCGGGATCATTGAAATCATTGCAGACTACGCGACTTAGAATAAATAGAAGGAGGAAGCATAGGGGAAGAGGCATGGCAGAATCAGTATGTGAACATGTCCCGTCGTCTGGTGTGCCAGTGTATTTTCCTGAAAGAAGGTGTTTTCGTTGTATTATTCAGTGTTCCAGTTTATTTAGTTTCCTGGAAATCCTGAAGTGGTGGTCTTATAAATTCCTGTAAATATAGCTTGTATGAAATCCTGCTCATCCTTTGTTATTTTGCTATTGGATCCTTGGTTCAACATAAAATCCTTATTGGTTTTAAACATAGGCCTCGAAAACCTTATGAAAAATGGATGTCCAGCTATAGGACAAAATACTGGCCGTACAAACGGGGATCTTATTGGAAAGTTGCGGACAGCCCTGCAAGAACTAATCTACCTTCCCTGATTTCTTCCACCGTTCTTTTTTCATATCTGGTGCGTGATCAGCACCATGCTCAGTTCTGGTGCAAAAACGGTTGTCACGCTTAGAAGGGGAGAAGTGCAAGAAAATGCCGCTTGTGCCACAACGACGGAAATGTTAGCTTAGCCTCATGGCAAGGCGTTAACAGGTATCACCGTGAACGTTGCATGGCCAACCCTCAATGCATTGTACAGGCAAGGATGTTGTTGGTCTGCTTTGATGGCAGCACACCCGATGCCTGCGCCCGCTCAAGGGCGCCCACATTCTGAAGCTGACTGGCGCAATGAAGTTGAATGAGCACAACCAATTGTGAAAACTTTATTGCCAGCGATGTCCGAACGCTGCCTGGATCAAGGCGCGCAGTGCTTGCGGCGTCCATTGCCTGGCAGAATGTGGCAGCAACCACAGACGAATTGGCGCCGCTGCCGAGCTTTTTCAGGGAATTTGAAGGCAAGATCCTGGCCCCGGCGTTCGAATGTGTCAACAGCGCGACCCTCGTTGCTGCGGCTTGCTTCACGTCCGTCCTCAAGGACAGGAATAGCTTCGCTTTCCGTTGAGTTGTGTCCAGAGTCCATAGCTCAGCCAGGCCGACAGAGTGCTGCAGGCAAACCCTTCGGCCTACAAAAACGTGACCACGTCCGTGATCGCTCGGCAGTCTGTCAGACCAGCCGCGTGATGCTCGTCTGGCAAGGCATCATTTGCCGCGACCAATGCCTTCAGCGTGTAGGCAACGTTGCCCACCGGAATCTAGACGAGTCTTGGCTTGTGGAACCATGTAGGCGCTCTTGAGTGCGGAAGAAAAGATCAAAGATAGCCCGGGTCAGAAGCTAGGGTGACTCCCACCCGATGAATATGACGAGGTGCAATACACCCAGCTTGAGGAGGAGCCGAGCGAGCTCACAAGAGGGCCGGATGCGGCATGGCTGCAAGATCAAGATGCAGAAGGGAGGACCATTGCGTGGAGAAACAAGTTGAACACACTGAGGGGCAAAAGAGGCTTGAAAGGTTGCGAGAGTTGGAGACAGCAGAGATGTTCGACAGGATGAGGGACTCGAGGCCCTGGCTGCAATCGCATGTCAGAAGTCGGGTAGTCAATGCGGACCTGGAGGGCATCAAGCTGGAGATCGACACCACACTCTTCGAGGCGACCGAGAAGGGCTGTCAAGTGCTGGAGGAAGCCGAGCAGCACCTGGTCCGTGGGATGGTGTGACGAGGAGAGACAAGCTTGCATTAGTACTGTACACCATCTTGGCATCGAGAACGGGAATATGGCGAAGGCAAGTTCGACTTCCATTACGGCGCAGTTGGAAGTGCATCGGCTACAAGGAACTTGCGAGCGCACTTGGGCCCAGTGAAGGAGACGAGGAGGAAAGGCAGTGCTTGGTGCTGCACCTTGCTGATGTGGTAGGCAGCGACTGGGATCCGGGCATGGTCCCCAGTCTGGTTCAGCAAAAGGCGAAAGAGTTTCGGGCAACACTTTGGAATGAGGCAGCGTGAGCCATTGCGGAGCTTGGTGACCCAGCGCAATGGATAAGCAAACATGAGGGGCTTTGTGCGCGACTGCTTGAGGGCACACCATGATAAGGACAACCGCCTCTTCCAAGTCTTCATCACGAAACGCTCGTTTTGGAGACTTGAAGTGGCAGTTGTGGCCTCAGAATTAGCGACCCTGTAGTACAAATGTAGTGCGGGAAGTAGCTTCTGGGAACTGTGGCCTCAAAACTGGCAGCTTTGTAGCGTAGATGCAGTGCGGGAAGCAGCTTCTGGGAGCTGATCTCAGAACTGGCCACTTGGTAGCACATGGTATACATGGTACCTTGGCAAGTTCCATCTCCTCTGCCCCTTGGTTTCTCTGACATTGGCTCCCGATGGCCAACTTCATCATCCAATGCTTCAAGTGCGCACGACTTGAAAGCAGTAGCCTTGGTAGGCTGCCTGAATTGCCACAGCCCAGCCGCGGCAGACACGGAATGGGCAGACCTGAGCTCTCGTACCCCGCAGTGGAGCGTGCAGATAAAGCCCCACCAATACCAGGGTCCATTGCCCTTTCTTGTGCTGCAGGTGAGATTGATCAGAAGGGGCGGCTCCCCACTCACAAAGATGTGTAGGGACTATCAGGGCGCCCATGCTCTCCTGGCGTCCTGGTGCTTGCACCCTGGGTTGGTCCCAGAGCTTCGGGTAACGCCCTGAAGGCATGGAGGATTCCAAGATGAACTCCTTTTGTCGTGGGCATAGATCTCTTCACAACCTTGCAAGTGAAGTCGCAGAAGCAGTTCCCGTCGGTCTCCAACATGGTAGGTGTAGTTCTGCCCATGCAGTTGCCATATGTCCTGGTGCCACCGTTGACCCGGTTGAAGTCGCAGTAGCTCGTGCATGGCGCCCCAAACTCCCACACGTTGGCATGGTCCACGTCGGTTTTCCCGTCCAGTCTGACCTCTTCTGCATCTTCAAGGCGTCTTCCAGATCTGGACCTACCAGATGGTCGACCTTGCACGCTCCCGTGAAGTTGACCCTCCAGCACTGCAAAAGTGTAGTCCTGAGGTCCTTGATACGAGACCCCTCCAAAAGTCACGCATCAAAGTCTCCAAAATGAGTGTTTCGTACAAGATTTCCTTCAAACGTGAAGCAGGAACCTGTCAGAGACAACGCATTCCACAGCCCTGCCACGCAGTTTTGCAACCCCAGCCCTGCAGCCACTGACACACCAATCCCAAATTCACAGCAACGTTCACCTCCACCAAGCATCGCCACCTCACGATTTTTCTGCGCCTGTCACGAAAAGTGAGGATATCACATGTATTCACATGTTCTATCATGCTCATGTCTTCCGCAAAGTTTGCACCACACCACACGTTTGGAATAGTTTTGAACTGTTCTGAGTACACTCCCATCCACGAAAACACAGCTTGGAAGCAGCCTCAAACGCAAAATCCCAATGTCGCAGCCACATCCAACACACCAAAAACACAGCCCTCCAAAACCCAATTCCAATGTGACTGCGAAGAAAGCTGCAGATCTCACAAAACGCCGCGCCTGTGCAGTGAACTCGCTATTTCCCACAAATCTCCACATCATGCTTCCATCTAAATCCCTAAAGCTTTTCCGAATGTGAGCGCCATAGCGCCCTCCTCCGAACGGTTGCGAACGGTTGCAAACGACCACAAGTCGCGAACAAGAGTCTACCCCAAACGAGAACCCTTCGCTAGGCATTCGGGAAAATCCACCGTTTCGTAGAATCGGAGAACAACAAATCAAGCAAACATGCAGTAACATGCAGCATGCTTGGGAATTTGTTTGGCGAAAGCTCTGCAATCCCGCTACCAGCGGAAGCAACAAGCAACTGTTCAGTCTTGTTGACTGCTCCACAGCCGCAGGTTGAATGCATCCGTGTGACTCTCATGGCCAAACGCCACTGAGCTGAAAAGGGTGAGGTCCATGATCATAGGTAGATCCATGTGAAAAAGCCACGATTTCTTCCTTTCAGTGTGCCTTCCATTTGGGTCTTTGTGTCGAATCGAAGGGACCCACCTTTTGAAGTCGGACCAAGAAAGGGCCTCGAGGGGCATCGGATCTTTTGCACCAAATGGGATTCAAGTCGAGCCATGAGCTTTGTGCTTTCTGTGCAAGGAAGAGGACGTCGCCGTGGCCTTGGCTACATGCATTTTGAAGTCGAATCATTGAGCCTCCAGTTTTCCTGGGAGAAACGTCTCTGCCACTTTACGCGAATCTCTTTGCAAGACACTTTGGTTTCACGCCAACGATCAGCTGTCTGAGCAAGTAAATCCATGTCTGTTACAGTGTCTCTCTCTTCTCTTTCCATGGCCTTCAGGACGAAAACTTCATGAGCCGCTGTCACTGCCGAGGAGTTTATCCTTCATCCGTTGCCACACGCTTTGCGACGTGCCCCGTTTGCAGCACGCCATTCGCTTGCTTGGAAAACACCCGTGGAGCCATACGCCGGATGGCCGCCTCGTTTCTGCAAGGGTTGCTCTGATCCAAACCCTACCGGGTACCCCGTGTATCATATAAGTCCATGTTTCATCTGGTGGCTCAGTGCACTGGTCTCGACACCTCCAAGTGCCCGGGCAAAGCGCTGAGGCAATCCCCGAGCTGTACGAGCTGTGGCCTGGCTCGTGCGATGGAATGGATGATCCTCTGATACCATAGATGGGTGTTTTTGCTCCAAGAATTGGGGTAAAGGAAGGATCAGGAGGCTTTCCTCTTCTTGGCGACTGACAGCTGAAACGGCATTTCCTCCGTTGAGTTCAACTTGGTCGGCTGAGGAACGTCGGGCGGACGGTTCCTGGCAGATCGGGCGATTGAGTCCGATCTCACACGGTCGTCGGTCACATGGAAAATGGGGCCGGGCCTTGGTTGTGTGGATTGCAGAGAATGTGATGAATGAGGGAGAGGGAGTGTGAAAGAGGTCGATCGATTCGTGTGTATGGAAGTGATGTTCTCTTGAATCGATCGATTTGACCCCCCTAAAGTGGTTTCGGACAAATTAGAAGACATCACCAACCTCAGGCTTGAACGGCTTTAGATCGGTCGCTCCTTTGCAATCTTCGTATTTGGGGCGGTGTCGCAGTGCCATGCTCACTCCATCTCCGGTCTCCGGTTGCGGTCAAAAGCCGCCGCTATCCTCCCGTCCGGCGAGGATAAGGGCGCTCGCCTCCCAGTGGTTTTGCACTTTCGTTTGAACAGGCCTGCTCTCTCGCTCCAGCAGCAAGGATGACAAGATCTTCTCCTACATCAGAGCTTCACCACAGCTGTTGCTAAGACTTGTTGGTTGCGCTGGGGAATACAAACAGGGGATTCTTGGTTCAGCCTTTCCTCAACCCGGGGACGCCAACCAGGGGATTCCATTCAATTCAGTGACCAAACGGGGGTCGGTGCCACCGAAGGGATGCGTTCTCGAGGTGTTGCGAAGGGGTTGTGCTGTCCCCTTAGTCGTCCATCCACTCAGAGTGGCCACGATTTCAGTTTTCTTGGTTTCAATGTCTACCCAATCAGGTTCACAAGTCATGGGATATTTTTTCTCATATCCTCGCTTTTGGATTGGTCTCTTCTCATGCATTGTTGAGTCTACTTGGGTTAACAGCCACTTGCCGGATTTTCCTTTCGTCAAGCAGTGCCAAGTTTTCAGCCAGGCGGAAGTGAGATGTTACCCCCTGCACCCATGAGTGTCAGCATTCTTAAATCACCCCCTTTGCGGTTCGTTTCCAGTGGTGGTCTTGAATCACAAGAACATCCATACATAGAAGCCCATACACCACCAAACAATACCCAGGACAAACGGTTCAACATGCCACACTCTTGCCACACTGCCAGGTTCACACTGCCAGAACCGTGTCTTTGAGGACTTTTGTTGTTGCCGACACTTTTGGAGGCGTTCTGCTAGAGATTCTGGGGGGTTGGGTGGGCCATCCAATGCCAACGGATACCCCTTCTCCTCACAAGTTTCCAGCTGCTTCTCCTGCCCAACGTGGGATCCGAAAGGTGCCCCACGCTTCGGAGCGTTTCCAGCTGCTTTCGATGCAGAAGGTTCTTCCAACAGCCAAACACCATGATTTCTTATTGGCACAGTTGCCAAAAATCCTGAAAACTGCTCGACTCTGAGGGGACCAAAGGAGATTTTGAGGCAGCTTCACCTCTCTTGGGGATGCTTGGCCAAACAAGTCTCAGGGCAACTGTACCGTGTACAGTAAAGAACATGATACCATGTGATACCGTGTACAGTGTATTTGTTTTTTGCACTCTCTTTTGAAAGCTGTGAAGCAGATTGCAGCATCATCAAGTTTCGAACCCCTCCAGTGCAAGGGTTTTGGATCCCCTGTGAATCCTTTTTCAACAACATGTTCACTTCTTTCACAAAGGAACACATCCGATCAGATCGACCACAAAACACATCCTGTGATGGAAGCATCCTCCATTCTTCCCACCTTCCTCCCACCTCACCCGGTCCCAACTTCTCTATCCTCTCTCCACCGAAGTCCCGCTTTCCCCACCTCACCCGCCAGTAGCCCAGCCGCCGCCCCCAACGCCAGCGGCTCCAGCGCGGCGCCCGGACCGGCGCCGAGCCGGCGCGCTCGGTGCGAGGACGTGGCGGTGAGCGCCCGGGAGAGGTATAAGGGCAGCAGCGCCAAGGCCCAAAGGCCCAAACGGAGGTGGCTGAGGCTCAAGAAGCCCAGAAAAGTACCTGGAAATGAGGAAATGACCATGGAGCATGGACAAAAGAAGTGGGATGATGGCGATGGGGATTGCGATGGTTTAAAGTTGAGGATCCAGATGTTCGTTTCCGGAGAGTTGGAAGGAGTTTGGGACGCGTCGGAAGCCTTGAAAGTGCCATTGACGACTTTGCCATGAATGGTGCTTTCCAACAAAGTAGGCCAAGCCCTGGGCCCTGGATAGCAATGCAAGACATAAAGACACAAAGACATACTGTATGAAGAATTATTGAGGCTTCACCCAAAACAAGCAAGACCTGCATGGTGGGAAACCGGTTGTTTCCAACAGCATCAAACATCTCAAGCAAGGCAAGTGTGCGTGGAAAGAATTTCTCTTCCCAAATGCATAGAAAAACCAACTGCTCGAGTTGTATCCCCCCTCGTGCTTTCGGACGTTCTCACCTTCACTGACGTGGACACCAAGCGGCAGAAACCGGCCAAAAGCCCCCAAAGCTGCCCAGGGAAGTGCAGGTCCATGGCCCGCTCCTGGCAATTCTGCTGAGAAGGGTGGTGAAGTGATGCTATGATGCTAAGATACCTAGGTTCAGGAAGTGGAAGGTATTGGGGTGGATTGGTATGGAGCCTCCTAGTGCCAGGCTTTTGTTGATATCAGGCCCTCATGAAGTGTGAATGGAATGGGGGGAACTGCTTCATCTGAATTTTCAAAAACATCGTAAGAACCTCAAAGCATTCCACCAAACCGGACTGAACCTCTGGTGTCAAGACCTGCCCCCTCTCACATTCACGTGGATCTCCCTCAAAACTATCAGCTGAAACCTCACTTCATCCAGTGCCTGATACAGTTTTCTTTTTCCCTTATACTTCGCACCGGGTCCCCCCCTCCACTCTGCCGAACGCACCTCACTGCGCGACTCGTGCGACTTCGTCTGCGCAAGGCAGCAGGCCACGTAGCAGCGCGCGCCCAGCTGCGCCACCGAAAGCTTCAAGAGGAGGTGGACCTCACGGGGAGCGAGCCGACCGTCGACGGACTCCAGCGAAGGTTGGCCACCAAGTCTACATGGTCGCTGGCTGATGGGCCACCACAAGAACTACACTTTTGCTGACCAAATGGCCGAAAAAAAGCCTTTGTGCTAACTGTACCAGTGGTCTGTCTATCTCAGTAGATCCCCAACCTATAAAGCCGTTCGCCCATGGGTTGCCAAGCAACATTTCAGCAGAATTATGTTGGTGACAAAAACATTTGGCAGAAGATGTTCCATACAAGCCGACAGACAACATTTTAACGAAAAAACGCTCCTCATTACTACACCAAAACCCATCCAGGATAGACTTCTTCGATGTATTCAACCCGACCACTCCTGATTCTCGGCCTGGGCGGTGCCGGGGCGGCTTCACCCATCTTCACCGGTTGACCCATCTTCACCTTCACCATGCAACGTCTTCCCGTACTACGGCAAGGTCCATCTACCCGGTCTACGCTGTAGACACGCTGTCCCGGGGACGAAGCAGGGGACGAGTCCAGGCCCGAGACGAGGCTCTGAAACGGAACCGATGCTTTCGGCCACATCCGAGTTGCCATGGCCACTCCCACTGCAATGAAGAGCCACACCTGTTCGGTGAGCCAAGTGTCCTGAGGCTGAACGACATCGATCCAAAGGTCAGCTGGGTGAGCTGGGTGAGCTCAAGATCCAATAGATGAACCGTGTATCAACGCTCCCGAAGCCAGTGGTGTTCAAGCACCTATTGTTTCTGCCTTGTTGAGAAGCAACTACCCGTTCAAAAGATGAACCTGAACCCCCGTGTGGCCCCACAAACATCCCCTTCAAGAGGAGTTTCCAGGCCCACAAACCAAGTTTCTGAAGAGCATCTGGCCGAGTGTGGCCTCCCACCCCCCCACAAAAAGGACACAAACACAAACAAGCACAATCACCTCATCACCTCATCTCCTCACCTCCTCCGCGTTCCGTCCCAGGCGCTGAGACGGGTCCCATCACCGCGGTCGTGAGGATCCACCAGTCCACGGCAATCCTCGAGACGAGACGAGTCGCAACCCGCGGAAGAGCGGAAGAGCGGAAGACCGGAGATGGAGAACGCCTGGAAACGCCTGGAAACTTGTTGAGGGAAACAGATATGCCTTCCACATCGGAGAAACGGGAAAGAGATGTACCAAATTGGAGTCCAAATTGGGGATTTCTTTCGTCGACATGTCAGAGGAACCGTTGCTGTTCAAACTCAGGTTGGAACCTCTGAAACACCGTGGCTTCCCCCGTTGAGAAACGACCTCTTGGCATCCGACCGTTGAGGTGCCAAAACGGAGCCGTGACGATTCGGGTGACGATTCGCTGGGTCACTGCAAGAGTTGGTCGCTGAAGAGCACCAAGAGCCACAGGAAGGAATGGCCTCGAGAAGGCAGTCTTCTCAAAAACGGAATCCTTTCTGGAAGAGAATATCCCTGAATTTAGCTTGATGTTGCTGAACCAGCGAATTGGCTTCCGAACATCTGGCCGTCTGGCTCCAAGCGTCATGTTTAGACGTCAATTGCTGCGCTTCCCACACGGTGACATGGTGTTGGCTCCGTTTGCACAGCATGCCATCCGTAACCGTGTTCTTGGACCACAAGGTTAGTGTTGGGACACTTTGTCAGCCGGTGTCGTCATGGACAATGAACGAGACCTAAACCATGCAGAAAACCAATCGTCCTCCAAGGAAAGCTGCAGCGAACAAGTTGAAGACCAGGACATACCAAATCTTTTTTTTGCAAAACTGTTCGTCAAGCTGAACCCCCTAAAAAATGAAGGGTTTTCCTGTTTTGCAGCTCACAACCTCCACTCCCCTCCTAAGCAAATCCGCGGCTTCCCTTGACGAGTCACCCGGAGCCAACGATAAGAAGCGCAAGGCATTGCCCCAAATGGAGCCTGCTCTCTCCGACTGAAGCGACGACTTCCTCAGCCGAACATGAGCCGGTGGCCACCAGATGATTGAAAACGGCACAGTACATGCATGTATATGTAACAAACTTTCCTTTTTGAGACGTTCCAACTGTTGTGGTTCCACAATCGATAGGAATCACAGGCTCCCATGATCGGGTTCCCTCATGCTCAATGGGATTCCGGTTCACAATTCGCGCTCTTTCTACCAGTCCATTGGTTGATGGATTGGCCATCCGATGACGGGGGAAAAGCACCAACGGACAATTTTTTTTTCAGCAATGGGATGGATTTTTTTCGGTTGCTCGAATGGTTTCTGTTGCTAGACAGGATCCACGTCGCGGCTGTCT